CAACAAGTGCTCGGAAGAGATTAAAAGGAGAATAGGAACGCTGAAGCACGTTTGGGGCAGCAAGAAGCTGAGTCTTGACAACGTGCGTCTTCAGCGTTCTCTTGTACGCATCTGAAACGTGGACGCTGAAGGAAATTAGGACTGTTCGGTGCAGAATGAGAGATAACAGGCTGATCAAACATGTTCTATTTTCACAAATAGACGGAAAATCTCGAAGAGGACGGCCGTGCAGAGAGTGGCTCGATGACATAACGGAATGGTGTCAATTTAGTGGACATGACTTGTTCCACCTTGCGCAAGATAGACGGGCATGGAAAAATCTGATTCCGTAAATGGTTGGACCCAACGGGCGCCAAGCCTATGGGATATGATGATGATGATGATGATGAGTACTATGCGTGAAGTGCAAGTACAAGTACCAAGCAATCTTCGACAAGTATAGTATAGTAATACTTTTACCAACAATACTCGTACTTATCTTAGCTCCGTCAAACGCCATTCATTTTCCACATATTGGTATAAAACAAGTTTTGATCTCACGTAACAATAAGATTTCATGGATTGTCTTGATCCTAGCGTGTTATTTTATTGTTTTAGGAGTTTTCCAGCAACGTTTTTTATGTGAATTGTTTCAGTCGAGAAAGATCATATTTTAGTGTGCTTTTCTTAAAACTCATGGAAATCATCTTAAACTAGGCGTCTTCTTACATTACTTTTAAACTTTCTGTCGAAAATGATCCTCTAAGGCAAGCAGCCTTCTATACATAGGCGGGTCTATCAATATGTTACAGAGCTTACAGTTATGCTATCTGTTATAATGAAAAATAGTGTTCCATTCTTCGACTTCTGCTCACGAATCAGCTTACAAGGACGATACGTTAATGTAATAAAAAAAGAATGATTTTAAAAGAACTAAATAGTAATAAACTGCGCATTTATGTTCACCTGTGTCACAAGATAAAATGAGGAGATACCTGTAATATCGACGCATTTTTATGATGAAAATGTCAGCTATTTCTTATTTTATTTATAGACCCTTACCGTCTCCGGTGTTGAGTGGGAAACATGTCACATAAAAAGGTAACAAGCAGATCGAGAGAAAAAATAGAAAGGAACAAAAAAGTCTTTTGTGTTCATTCGACGAGAGTCATGCAGGTGCCATTAGAATTAGACCAAGATACCTTCATCAAACTATTATCCTCTGATAAAATCAGCTTGGGATAGTAGTCATCATACTAGTTTATGTTAATTCTAATGGGTGTATTACAATCAGCCACACCATTTTGTTAAGTAATTTTGTGTTTCTTGTACAACGCTTTTGCTTTGGTGCATGATTTTGTATGGTTTGTGATTTCCTGTGCTTTGAAAAATTTGTTACAATCTGGACATTTGTATCGATTATTTTCCGTAGATAATATTTCTGTAACTTTTCTTTTGGCCACGTCCATAGATGCATCAAGCTCTGTCTTCATTCTTTTAACTGCACATTGTTTATATTCATAAACAATGTTCTTAATATTCTTATGTACTAGTTTGACATGTATTTCTTTGTTAATTATTTCTCGCCATTGACTTCTGTTGAAAGTCAATCTTCTCCAGTTTCCAATGTTTAGCTTCCAAGGGGGAAAAAGCGAGACTTCAGACTTCAACTACTTCACCGGTACTTTACTTTACTTCATTGTTACTTCACTATACTTCAAATAATATCTGAAGTAGATGAAGTCTCGCTTTTCCTCCCTTGGTAGCTCCTCAATATCTTTGGGGACCTTGTCCTCCCAATGTTTGCTTCTTCCCATATGACTAGGACGTTTCTCATCATGAAAATATGTAAACATAGTCTTTTTCGTTAATGATGGACCACCATCATGGTTGGTAGATCGATTTACGTGTCCGAACCATCTTAACCTATTCCTCCGTATAATATTTGTAATAGATGGCTGTCCTGTAATATCTAATAATGTATCGTTGGATACACGATCGCCTAGAGTTACTCCAAGAATCATTCTTAAGCATCTGTTATAAAAAGTACAGATTCTTTGTTCCCGTCTTACTGTTAGAGGCCATGTTTCACTACCATATAGTAGCACTGGTAGGATGCACGCTCTAACTATTCGAAGTCTTCCGGTGCACTGAAAAAGAAAGGTAGTCCACCCAGCCATTCCGGTATAGTGATGGCCCACCAAGCTATTTTAAGTTTGGCACCACCAAAATGGTTCCGTAGCGTGAGTAAAGAACTTTTTTAAGGTTTTGAGGGCCAAAAAGGTTTCGTGCTGTTATTGCCAAACCATTGAAAGGTTCAGCAGCGCGTATACTCAACTTTTTTGGTTTCGTATGTCTGGTACAAAACC